TAAACAAATCAAAGAAAAATGGCTAGCTTCTAACCCTGCACCTCAACAGGGAGCAAGCCCTAGGATTTTGTTCATATATAAAATATTAAGAGAAAAATGTGTAGATATTCAAATCCAAAAATCTCTTAAAAAGCAAAAATTTGGTTTTTGTAAATCTGTAATTAGGGGATATGGTTCTTCAAAAGAATCATATAATAGGAGGAAAAAATACAAAAAAAATCCCAAAAAGAATGTTTTTCTTGCAAAACCAAACCCAAAAAATTCATAAAAAAGAAAACATATTCTCTTAAGCCTAGTAAAACCTTCAAAAAAGGAAAAACGGGTAAAAAGGAGAAATATGTGAAAAAACCCAAAAATCCAAAGAAAGACAGAAAATGCTATATATGTGGAGATCCAGGACATTATGCAAACAAATGCCCAAACAAAAACAAACCAACTGAAAGATCTCACATATGGGCAAATCTTGCGGAAGAAGAAGACATCATCTCTATAAGCGGATACGAGTCTGAAAGTGATGTTTACAGCATCGTTTCAAAAGATTTGTTTATAGAAGACTTGTCTGAATCTCATTCAGAATCTGAAGACGATATAGACTCTGAAGATCAAAATCTTCAGCAATTTATAGATTCTCTTGATAAAAAATTAAACACTATAAAAATCATGATGATCAAGATTGATTCTGACTGAAAACACTTATGGCAATTAAATCAACCCCCACAATGGGAAAAATGTTTAGATTGTCATAGGGACACCCAGCCTTCTACGAAATTGAAATGTACAATATGCTCAAAAGTATATTGTATATTCTGTCACAAAAAATTAAAAGAAGAGGTTGAACAGGTACAGCCTTCAAAACCTATAAATCAAATAAACATCCCTGCACCAAATGAAGAACAATTAATCAAAGATATAGAAAAATTGTCTCTATTGCAAGAAATGAAGTCAATGAATAAAACACTTAATGAAAAGGATGAGTACATCTTGCAATTAGAAGAACAGATAGAATTTCTCCACCAAAGAACAAAGGAACTGGAGAACCAATTAGCAAAACTTCCACTCAAAGGAAAAGATACTAATGAACCAACAGCAGATAAAGAAGAACAAATCTCTACTTTATCAGCTAATGTTCCAACAAACCCTAAAGATCCAAATACCCTACTTAGCATACTGTGTTCAATCACCTTCAAAAACGGAGAAAGAAAGGAATTCTTAGGAATGATTGACACAGGAGCATCTAAATCTCACATTCTTGAAACAGAAATCCCGAGTTCTCAAGTCTCAACAATGAAAGCTGTTTATGGAACTCAAATGGATGGAACTCAACTCAAATATGATAAATGTTTAAAGGATGCAAAAATTTCTTTCTGGGACTGGGGATCAAGAACTTTTGGAGAAAAGTACACCTTACCTCAAGTAATTGTACATAATATCCAAAATAATTATCCCTTCATAATTGGCCTAAACTTTATCACTCACTTCCAGGGCCAAATGACAATTTCTTCTGATGGAGTACAGTTTGCAAAACGA